CATCATGGCAACCTGCAAACTGACAGAGGGCAGGAGTAGATGGGATATGAGGAAGAAATTAGGTTAGATATTGGTGAGAAATTCTTCTCTCTGAGGGTGGTGAGGCTCTTGCAAACAGGAGCTGTGGCTGCCCCATCCCTGGAAGTGTCCAAGGCCAGGGCTTGGAGCAAACTGGTCTAGTGGAGGGTGTCCCCTGCCCATGGCAGGGGGTGGGATGAGATGATTTTTAAGATCCCTTCCAACCCTCACCAGTCTGTGATTCTGTGATCCTGGAATAAACACTGAAAAGACTCAACTGCATGAACTTGGGCTTCCAAGTGTAGGACAGTAGATACCACCACTGAGCAAACACTGCTCACCTGTTTTCCCAGTTGAAATGGGATGGATGAGCCCAGTAGAAAATTGCTTTCAGAGAAACCAGCACTGTTTGGTTTTGGAATTTGGTAGGCTAGAGTACAGATGCTCTTGTCAAGGAGACAATCTTCCTCTCATTCTGATTTTTAAGGCTGTGTGTCAATTCATTGAGAATTAACTTTCCTGTGTGCTCCTTCTCTGATCATTCTATGAAAAGAGGTTAAAAAACTCCTAAACTAATGTGATATAGAAAGAATAAAGTATTTGGATTGAATATGAATTCATTCCAAATTGACATAAGAATGCCAATTGACGTATGAATTTAGTGTCTACATTTCTCTCTTACATTTTAACATAATGTTTTTTCATGTTGGCCCTAAAACCAGGAAACTTCTTGTATTATTTCTGGGACAGAGCAGTGATACTACATAGCACAGTGTTATTTTGCATGGAGAACTGGCAGTTTTAACAATTATGAATTTTTTACTGGTTTTATTAATTCTGAAAGAACAGAGGTGTCACTATAACATGTAAGAACGCAAACAGTGTTACATTTTATGCACACCATAAATGCTAAATGGTTGCAGGAATATTTCTAAATATTTTTCTCCCCTGAGCTGTGGCAATTCTTTTGTCTCTGTTAAGTACCTGGTTATTGTCTCCTAGCAACATGTATGGGGGAAAATTCCTTGAGAGAAGGGGAAAGGAAGAATCATAAACCCCAACAGTAAAATTGCATTGAACTTTTCAAAGTAATAATCCTTTGATTTCAAACATCAACTTACCAACCTGTGTGGCATCAGCATTCAAATTCTTTGGGATTTTTTTTCAAGTTGTCAAATTATTTCAAAAGAGAGAGGCCCAAAGAACCAGAGCCCTGTGTGTGCTCTTGCTGTCAGTCTCAGTAGCTATTTGCTGATTTTCACCAATTCATTGCCAGCAAAGAATGGCAGATCAGTAAAGAATATGAAAAGAAACTATGCCAAATAGCTGAAACCAACTCATAATGAGAAATTCAGATTTGGGGCTTGGTAGACATTGTGTAGGAAATGCACTGAGGAAAAATACTGTTTAGGGCAGACAACCTAGGGGAAGACAAGGAGAATGTTTTCAAAACATTTTTCACAAGTACATTATGCATTCAGCTCATGTGTTGCTGTGTTTATAGATTCCATAGCAAGTATTATAAATAATAAAAATAATCTCCTGAAAGCCCTTTGCCTGGTTTTGTATCTGATACCCCTTAGCAGATTCTGGCTTTACACAAAATTCTTGTCCTATCAAAATGTAAATTGTGGGCTGATGTTACAGTGGTGAGCTGTGTCAAGGCGTTTAAAAGTAACAGAGAATATCAGTGAAAGGCAAGAAAAAAAGGGAAAAAAATGAAGAGGAAGCACACTATTTACATTTGATGAAGAGCATATCTGACAGCTGAGTGCACAAAAAGAATTGGCATTAACAACGCCTGTGCCTGACAAATGCTGCAGGAATCTCTTGCCTCTGGAGTCTCTGTGGATGGGAGTTCATTAGCAGGCAGCTCTGTGTGTGCCTGCCCTGCTCCTGCTGAAGCAATAATCCTTTAGGGATGTCAGTGAGTAACAACCTTGCCTCAGGAGGAATACAGTCTGGGATATTTTGTAAAATACTTCCAAATTTCTATTTTTAATTAAAGACTTCTAGTTTGGGTCTTCTTTTTTTTTCCTTCAATTACCTTTCTGGTAGGGTGGGGTTGGGCAAGGCACTAAATCACTTTACAAGAGCAGTGAAATGTGGCATGGAACACTGTAAAGGAGATGATGTTGTGTCTCAGGAACAGAGAATGCTGCAGTCAACAGGAAATCAGTGTCTGAGGGTGCTACACTAAGTTTGCCTCCTAACTGGAAACTTTCTAATTGTTGCTCCAAGGGAGCAATAAGCTGAAAACCAAGGCAGATGGCTTCTTCTGCACTTCCCTTGCTTTGATTCCATGTAAATAATTTCCAGCTGCATAGCAACTTTTTGTGTTAAACATTTGTAAATGTTTCAACACTATCAGAGTTGCTCTCTCTTGTGCAGTAACTTGGCTGTTCAGAAGCCAGATGTTTTCAGCAAGTTTCAGAGGAAACCTGATTTCAGATTTTTAAATCTGCTCTCTCTAGACTGAGCCACTACTTCTAGCTATAGCATTAGCAGTTATGAAAGAGAAATTGTGTTTTGTCCCATGCTATGTATTGAAGGATTGGATTTAATTTTTTTTCCCTTCAAGCAGGGGCTGAAGGAGATGGTTTTTTTCCTTGTATTATAAATTGTTTTATATAGGTAAAGCCTTACAAAATAAGGGCCTTGTTACCAGTGTAAAATCATGGCTCAGGCCTGTCACCATTCATCTTGACTTTGAAAAGCTTTCTTTTCTCTTGGTAAAGGTGCATACCAGAGCAATGACTACAACCACGTGTGAATGTTTTTTATTTACTTTCCAGGAGCTGGGAGGTGGCATGTTTAAGTGGATGGCCATAAAGGCAGAAACTCTGCTCTAATGAGTGCTTGGTGCTGTGGCTTGTTTTGTCTTTCCTGTGTGTTCCCAAGACTTTTAGACTTTCCCATAGTAGAAACATATAAATATTGCAATTTGTGTAATAAAGATGGGTCCTGCTGCAAGAAGTAGTGGTCTCTGTTTGGTTTTTTTGCCAAGCTGCCGCAATTAAATTCATTGAGACCTTCATTACTCACATTATCTGACAAGCATTCTAGTGGCAATGATATAGCCTAATTTTTATGACTTATGATTGCATTTATGGTTTAAATTCAACAGACTGGAAAGGCCTGGTGTAAATAGGAATGTAAAGCCCATTTCCTTGTAAGAGTTTTTGGAAATGATTGGATGAAGTCCATGAAGCTCAGATATATTGGACATTGGTTTTGTTTTTTCTGAAAGTACAAATTCACAGGTTCTTGAAAACTTCTCAAAGTCCTTAAATTCCTTAAAAAATGTAAACATTTTGTTTAGGAAAAAATGTAATCAGAAAATGTTCAGGTAAGATAGAAAAAGTCAGATTTCCTTATTTTATCCTTACTTCCTTATTTTGTGGCTTGGCTCCATAAACACTTTTAAACTTTGTTTATTCAAAACAGATATTTATGCACCATTTATTCCTGGCCATCACAGGGGCAGAAAAGTAGATAATGCACCAAGTACTTATGAGCAAACTATCTCACTTACTAAATCATCTACAATACCTGCTACAGATTAGTTGCTAAAAAAAAAATACATTATCACACCAGTTGCTAACTGTCAGTCTTAGAAAGATCTAAATATCAATATCTATCAATAACAAAAAATTAAGTACTCATTGGAACATCAATCACTATTCATTTTTAATAGCAATACAAATCTGACCTAGAATTGCTTTTTTAAAAAGAATATTATTACTCAGTGGAAAATGGAATTTTATTTTTTTTTAACTTAATGGCACCCTCCCCTGTATGTATGGACTTTGAGTTTCCTGTAAGTGGAGCTGATTAATTTCAACAAGGAATAAGTAAGATTGTTACAAAATAATTGGCACGTTTATGAAAATTGTCTAAGTGGTAGAACCTGCAGCAAGAAGGCAAACTGCCCGGACTTTTTTTGGTCCAAAATAATTTCCCAGTTTGAGTGATTTGAAGGATCAATACAAAATCTGATGTCTTGGCAGAGGAGAACATGCTTGAACCACCCAGCCATGAATTTACCTATTTTGTTTTTATTTAACATGTTCTGATAATACCAAACTGATGTTAACCAAGGGGGTAAACTAAATTCAAAGGAGGGGTCTAATAGCTCCATTTCTTTCTTGCCTCCACACCTGAGTCTGGGTTTTTAATGTAAGGGAAGGATGCATTTGGAAGTACTCATTTTGCTTTTTGGAGCAAATGCTTGGGGAAACAGATCCTCTAAATCTTGGTTTTTGGTCCTGATTATAATTTTGAGTGTGTTCTTTAGTACTCTGTTTGCAAAGCACAGAGCCTTGACAAAAAAGCAGCAATTATACACAGCAACAGCTGTTTTTTTTAGTTTTTCATATGTTAATGCTCTCTTTAAATTTTTGTGAAGCTCTTTTATGTGAAATATGAGGTATAGAATGTTTCCTGTAATGAAGCTTAGAATTGCTATAGAGAAGTGACCTGGAGTGAGGGTACAGAGTGTATATATCAACATCTACATTGAGAAAAAAAGTTTTAAGTTGTTTTCAGGAGTGGTATTGGTCACTAAAGGTGTGTAATGCGTAAGTACTTTGTGGAACAACAACTCCTCCAAAACAAAAAGTAGTTTTTGTTTATTAAAAAAAAGAGTTTATTCAAACTCTTTTTTATTAATTCATAGCTTTAATTTTATTTTTTTTTTTTAGATTGCAGTTTTAATATGGTTGTATAATACTCTTGTAGTAAGAAAATGGTAGCTAAATATCAATGAGGTTTTTCCTCTACAGCAACTGGACATTAGAATTTCTGGGGTGGGTTTTTTGTTTTTTTGCTGTTTGTGTAGTGCATAAAATGTGCCACATTGTCATGATAACTTCCTTTCTTTATTTTTGTAGGGCTGACCCAAGGATCATTTAGTCTTTCAAGAATCTATTTGCAAGGTTTGCATTACTTGTTCCTAAGGAGAAGCGTGTCTGAGGTTGACCATGAGAAATTACCCGAAACAGGTAAATATTTTTATAATATTTCAAATTGCATCTGTGCAGAGCTACAAGTGATTTCATAGAGCATCATCAGTAAATGAGAGGCTTCACCCACACTCTGTAATGTTTATTGGAGCAATCCAGTATGAGTTACAGCTTCTGTACTGATGTGTACCCTACTAAAGCCATTAGGGCTGAAGGTTCATTTCATCCATGTACCTTTTGTGAATTACTGCCAGATATTCCTAGAGCAAATTTAGGCTGTGGGAACATCATCATCATCCCATGTTGTGGCACAAATGGGAGCCATTCTCCAAGCACACGAGTATGGAATGAGCACATGTTGGAACCCAGGAAATTCCTCTGGCTACCCTGGAGGACTGGAGAACCTGCCCAGGGGGCTCAGAGACCTTGGCACAGAGCCCAGGACCCCTGTGCCTTTGATCTTGACCCATGGAAAAACAATTGCCAACCTTATATGAAGAATTACAAGTCAAGAGTTTAAGTAGAATGATAGTGAATTTATCACAGGGTGCAAAAATAGATTTTTGGGGTTTTTAGAATGGGGGTTCAGGGGGCAAGATGGAGGAATCTGGGTGTATCCAGCCGTTCTCCTTCTTCTCCTTGGCCTCCATCTTCTGTTGTGGTGTTGGCACTTTTAGACTGGTTTAGAGTAGAAGCTCACTGTCTAACATTGGTGATAGGTATTGGAAAGTCACTGTAAATATTGTACATGTAGTTTTTGGTATAAAAAGATAAAACCACCCCAAGGACGTGCAGTGCGCCTCAACCTGACCTGCCAGACAGACCTCAGCAGGTCAGAGAAAGAATTTTATAGATAAGAAACAATAAACAACCTTGAGAATGAGACCAGAAGAGTTCTGACTCCTTCTTTGACCGCTGGGCTGGGAAAAGAGACTTTTCTAACCTATCTTGGGGTCACTGTGAGCAGCAGGGATTCTGAGAAGCACAGAGCATTGCAGGTAACTGTCAGAGGTGATCATTGAGTGGAGCAATGTGAACCAAGGCATCAGGGGCTCACAATTTGGAAAGATATGCATTATTTTTATTTTTTTTTTTCCCTTGAGTTTTTGAAGATGCCAGGCTGAAGCCCAGAGCAAGGCTCTTCCAGATCCTGCCCAACCTGGCTCAATCTCAGCCTCCCTTTCCCTGTCCCTTCTGAATTAGATTCAGATGTTGAATTCTGAGAAAAAGCTGTAGGAAAAGAGTAGGCCCTGATTGCTAGGTATTTTGTGATGAAGTCACTTAAAGAATTGATTTGGTAAAGCTTTTGTAATGTCACTGCAATTCTGTTATGGTCTTGGAACAGGTAATTGACTGTAGAAAAATACTGGTTATTATATGCCTCCAAAACACTCTGTTATTTTTCAAAATACATGTTTTCTGGATGCAATGTAACAAGGAATTTACATGCTGCAAATAAACCACAAGGCGCTCTGTTTGTAACAATATCTGTTTAGGTATATTTTAATTTCAAACTCTTAAAGTCTTGATTGACTGTCACTGCTACTTTTTTTTCCATTAAAATGCCACTAATACTTAAATCAGGGATCAAAACAGCATTACATTAATTGCAGTGTCAATCCTTTTTGCAAGATACTTGCAGCCTAAGATTCACAGTATGCTGAGGGAATTAGATAAATGAGACTGGGAGTACAGGGTGAGAATTGAAGGGCTTTTCTATGCAAAGGGAGAGAGTCAAAGTGTTCTTCATACTTGCAGATAGTCACAGCCCAGTAAATGGCACATGGAGCTATCTGCTTTATTGAATGAAAATCACTTACATACAATTAAGAGCAATAGTTGGGGCTGGTGCAGAATAAGAAGATAGCATTGAGAATAGCATGAGAAATTTGAAATCTGACACAGCAAGAAATGCAGCTAGATTGCACTGCTCCATCATTGCTTTATTTGAGTCATTGAGCTGTGTAATAGGCCATCCTGTATTCTCAATTGTAGAAGAAAGGGAATGAAAATCATCTTAAACTATACTGTAAAAGAATGAACACACAGCAATCTGCTTCTAAAACATGCAGTGTTATTTCAAGATGGGATGCATAGTGTAGTTCTTTAAATTAATTTTAGGGAATTTAAATTAAATTTAAGAGAAATGATTCACAAATTCAGTCCTCACAATGCAAACAAGTGAAAGACAAATATATTCAAGAAGAACAGTTTCATTAGGTGTAATGGATTTTTCAAGGATTTAGAAACTTCTAAATTGAGAAGAAAGCCCAAAACGTATTCTTTATTGTTTGAAAATGCAAAATGACATTGTTTGCTTGTCTAAAAGGAAGGACAAAAACTGAGAAAAGCAAAATAAACTTTCTTCTAGTTAAAATGCATAATTTAAAAATTTCTTGGCAAGCACAGTTCCATATTGTATTCATTTTAAAGTGATTCATGAGCACTGTAGTTTTTGTTACTAAATATTTTCTTTAAAACTTCAGGCATCGCAATGATGTGGAATTATTTGCCACTAGAACAAGATGGACTTCTTAGATAAATATTTTGAAGCAAATATAAATTTGCAGTCTGTGCAAAAATAGCAGATTTTCTTTTCCAGTTACTGCTTCAAAAATCCCATCCAGTAAACTATCTTAAAACCATAATGTTATTTTTCTTTTCAAGTACTTAAAATATAGCCAGTATGTAGAGAGTGATTATATGGTTGTCTACTTTCCCTAGGGCTTGAAGACTCTGAGCAAACCATCTCTGAAATGGTTACAAACATCCTACAAGGAATTTGACAGGAAGTAAATCTCTTAAAGACTTATTTTACTCTTCAGATTGTCTAATGAATTTCCATGAAGGAAATTAGGTGGATCTGTCCTGATCCACCCACAATCAACTCAGCTATTCAGCTCTACCATCTCTGGCATTTAACATTTTTCTGACTATTTTGTTTTCCTTTCCTAAGTACAAGAAAAACCTTAAAGCACTCTATGTTGTCCATCCAACCAACTTCATAAAAATTCTGTGGAATATCTTTAAACCTCTTATAAGGTGCTTGGCACTTCACTGAACACATTTTTCCCATTTATTTCAAGGATGGCTTGTTCTCTAATAAGTTGCTTTTTAAAAGGCTTGGAGTAAAATATGTCAGGTAACAAACAGCTCAACACCCATTTAAACTGTCTTGACATGCAGCAATAATTGCCTGCTAATTCTTATGAAGTATGACTTTACAGGTACCCATTGCAAATACTTATTTTTCCTGGTTCTTACTATGTCTAAGTGAGTTTTTTTTGTCTTGGAAAGTATGGCACACTGGCAGTTGAAAAGTGAGTGATCCTGATACACTAAGCATTCATATCTAGCATAAATAATTCAAACCAATGCCTGTCATCTTAAATGCATCCTCATCTTGACCTTCTGATCACCCTGTTTTCATCACAATTGGTTGTTCCTGTTTGAATCTGTGACCAACAGCAACAAAGCTGTTTGTACATTGGGACTGACAAAATAATTGAAAGTATGACTGAAGTCTGAAAAGATCTACAAACCAGAAAGCAGGAATCAGCTGAAGCTAGGGAAAAACCCTTTTTACTACTTAAAATGGTTTAAAGCCATGCCTTTTCTTTTCAGGTTGACTGTAGTTTGGGTTTGTCAAAAAAGTTTGGGTTTTTAAGTGTAAAATGGCTCATGAACAATTTGCCTAAATTATACTTTCCTCAAAGACTAAAACTTATTAATAACTTGTTAATTTACTACAGTAGTACAATTTTAAATTTATTTCATAGTACCTTTTCATTCCAGTTTAGACTAATCTTATCTTGGCAAATCATGCTGTTAAGTGTCAGTATTAATCCAGTTCACAAAAATAAGGGAGAAAAATTCTCTAGACTTTCTGTTCCCTAGCTTTGCTGAATTATAGCCCAGACTTATTTGTAGATAGTGTTGCAAATAAAAATAGCAGATGTAAAATAGATTTCATTATTATGAGGCATGTATTTATTTTTCTTTTTATTTTATTTGTCTGTTAGTACATTTGGTACCTGTTAGCACATGGCCTCAGCACTTTTACGTGGCAATGTATTTGGTAACAACTGGACAAATGACAGAGTTATTATAATGAAGGATTTTAGCATCCTTTTATTTGATAGTATTAAGAAAATGTAAGTATTTTTGAAATTTTTCAAGTTCCTGAAGCTGATTGATCTTCTTTCCAGTCCCAAAAGAAACGAGAAAGAAGGTAATGTGTTAAGTCAAGAGTATTTTCTCTAAAATGCAAGATAACTGTAGGAAGACCATATTTCTATGAGCTAGCAGAACCTGTTATGAAAATAATATACATTTAGGTGGCAGTAGTGATGAGCAGCATTTATTCCTAACTGCCCATGAATTTTTTTACATATTGTGGGTTCTGTGACACATCCTCTATTACCAGAGGTGATTATTTACAGAGTTATGTGCTCAACTGTGGTTTAGGGAAGATGTTGGAAGTTCGGGCTGTTTTGGATGAGAGACACTCTGGAGAGCTCTGAAACTGTGCATGCACAGACCGATATTCCTCATGTGTCCCAAAATTCCTGTTAGCTGAATTCAGGGCAGGGACTGTTTGTTCCATGTGCCGCTAGAGGGAGGATGTGCACGCGGATTGGACAATCCAGGGATAAACTCATCCATCCAGAGTTTTCCCCCAATTTTACTATGAAAGTGAGTTGCAGCAAAGCACACTTTTTACCATCAGCTCCTACTATTTTTCTTGACACTTCATGACAGTCCAGATATTTTGTGTTGTGGAAAAACAAGACATTATTTCAGCTCATATGTCCCTGACCCTCGTTTGAGCACCTTGGCTCGTGTGGTCGTGTATTCTGGCTGAAACTCAACACCTAACTAATAGTGCTTCAAATCTGGAAGTCTGTTTTGCACAACTTGTAGAAAACAAATAGTATTCCTGTTGTTTCCTAGAAGATATCCAGCCCTTTTCAAAAGGGGTAAAACTGATGGCTGGCACTTCAAGGCTGTACACTATCAATGCTTCGAAAATTTTACCTGTTGCTTAACTACCCCAAAGTTTATTTCTACATCCCCATTATTTTGTCTTTTTGCAGAGTGGAATACCTACATAATACAAAGATGTTGTTCTGTTGTCTGGATAATATTCTCTTGAAGGTTAACAGTTCTTTTAGTGAGCTCCCTAATGCTGTGTGAAACCTAGTTTACAGTGCCTTTTAAAGCAATGTTTTTCCTATCTGTGCAAATCACAAAACATTCAGATGGAAGTCAGTTGTTTTTATTCAAATCAGACTCTCAGGCATGCATTGTTTGATCATATGAAATGAAATCCATCTTATGTCTCCTGCTGCTTCAATTACAGTCTAATTTTGAGTTGCATCAGCACTTGTGTTTTTGTAGATTTAGAAGAGAAACCTCTTATAAATGTTCCTCCAATGCTAATATTTATACTATTATGTGATTTAAAAAAAAATTTTAGCCACAAGTTTGGGGAAAAGATCACCTGCTTGAACTATTTAGGCGACCTGGGACAACATCTCAAATCTGACCAGTTAAATATCTCTCAAGAAGCCATCTCGTATGTGACAAATTTAATATACATTGCCCCACTTTTTTCTCAGGTGGGGTTGCATCCTGATCACTGTATTCCAAGAAGAATCTATTTCTTCAGTGTAAAATACCTGTTGGTGCCAGGTTGGATTAATTCTGAAAGCTGCATTGCCATCAGAGATACACTGAAGTGCATCAAGTGTTTAGTTTGATACTAAAAAATTTGGAAAAAATCCATCTCTGTCATTGAGCATTTTCTTAATATGATTTCTACTTCTGTGTGAGTGTTAGCAAAACCAATCCACATGTCATTGCTGCTTATGAGTATCACACAATTTTCTTGGGAAAAACCTGTAATCCAGACCTCTTCCCTTACATATTGTAACAGATTGACTTCCTTTTATGAAGAGCATTCCCAATCAGCAAAGTGTTGATTGATTTTAAACTTTGTGGGTGTATCTATTGTTAGTAGGTCCATTATGTGTATGTGGAGTTTATTTGTGTGTGTCAGGGGGAAGGATTTGAGAGTGGATGGGAGATGAAAAGAGCTGCACAGGGCTGGGATAGTCAAGCACCAGTATTAGTATCAATAACTCTTTCTAACATGATGCTTTACATGGAAATGCTTTGATGTACTGACAGAAAGTGATTTTATGTCACTGCTGAATGAAAGTAACTGGAAGCTTTGATTATGACTGCTACTGATGCCTGGTGGCTTTTAACACACCTTTTGTGTAAATATGGGATAACAGAAAATACCTTAGAGCTCTGAGGTTATAAATTGGATTGCATGGTTGCCAAAGAAAAGGGAGTTGTAATTTGAGGAGCAAAAATGTTTGGATTTTGCTGTTAAATTATACTGTGATCCTATTTTTTGGACACATTTATTACTATACTCCACTGGCTGAAGCAAAAAGGCTCTTCTATGTCTTGCTTAAGTATTCCACCACAAATACTACTTAAAAAATTCCTCCTGCTGAAATTCTGAAGGACAAGGTTCTGTGAGACCTGCAGCATGTACACTATTGTCAGGAGATCACATCATGAGCAAGACTTGTAGCTGTTCACATATACAGTCTGTCATCTGCAGGTCACAGATTATCACTGAAATCTTGATTTTTTTCCTGACATGATGAAAATCTTTGGAGGAAACAGAAGGGAAAACTTCCACCTGCGGTTAAGGTTCTTCCACCATGGCCACCTCTGCCTACCCAGAAATTTGGAGTCAGCCTGCAATAGTAAAGCCATAAGAGTCCTAAAATATTCTGTTGCTGGTGGATGCTGACAGTCTGAAAGTGTTTTGGAGATGTTTAGATAATGGGTAGCCAAGCCAAAACACTGTCCTGTGCTGTATGTTCAGCAAGCTCTGATAAAAGAAAGTAATAAAGCCTTATTGCTGCACCTGATTGCCTCTCTCATCAAGGAAGGGCACAGCTGAGCTCAAATACAGCACACAGAGTTGACCTTGACTAGATGCTGACATTAATTAAAATAATAATAAATAATAATTAAATAATAATAATTAAATAATATTATAAAATAATAAATAGTAATTAAATAAATAATAATCCAATCATATTAATTAAATAATAGTAAATTAATAATATTAATTAATTAATGTGGATTAAATAAATAATAATTAAATAATAAATAATTTTTAAAAGTATAAAAATAATAATAATTTTAAACTGATTAGTTTTTAAATCTAAAATTAAATCTCTTTTGTGAGAAGACAAGGAATTTTTTATTTTTTCTATCTGATGCCATGGATGTGGGAAAGGGGACAGAGAAAACATTCAAAATTGCCACAATTGTGCAGCTTTTGCGTGTTAAGTTGTCATCATAAACATTTCAGAGTGCTTTCCTTTTGGTCATAATCTTTCTGTGTATGGATGACCAGGGAGGAGGAATACATTCTAAATCAAACCTCCATGGGCCTCAGCAGGGAGAAAACGAAAGGGTGAGGAAAAGCAAAGAGAGAGAAAGCACTGAAATGTCATGAGATATTCTTGGCTGATAATCTGTGTGTGAAGGCCTTGCCTGGATAACTCTCTGCTGTCTAGAAATGAGCCATTGGGTGTGTACCATTCTGCTGTCATTGATCATGTGTCCATTCAGTGAGCAGTTCTTCTCCCTGGCACTGTGTTCACCAGAACAGATCTCTCTGGAATCCGACACTGCTGCGATACGACTGAGATCTCCTTGGTGAATCATTTCCAGCAGCTGTACTGCAGAAAGGTTCTGTTCTGTTCATCACCTAAGCAGAAAGAGTAAGAAAAGATCATGTTTGAAATGTCCTGTAGCACTGCCTAATCCTCAGTGGCAGTTTGTGTTCTCCATCACAAGGCACTGCAGCTCATCCCACCATCCTGAACAAGGCAGGAGAAACATGGATTGCTTGGCAGGATCCAAAAAGAGACACATGAAACACAGAGGTTTCATTTCATTGATCTTTGAGCTGATTTACATTAACTGAAGTCATGTCCTGAGCATTTAATGTCCCTTTAGGTCCAGTAAAGTGAAAGCTGTGTCCCAAAATGTGAAATGCTCTGAAAAATACAAAGCCCAGCTCACCCCAGTGCTGCACAAACACAGCAATCCTTTGCATGTGACTGTCAGGGAACAGTTGATTCTATTTTAAATACCTTTTTTTTTTTTTTTGAGAATCTTGTTTATTTTACTGAGGACAGAACCCTTCCTTCAAGGGAAACTAGAATCCTATAGAAAATGGTAGAAGTGCAGAAACTCTACAACTATACTTTTTTCCCCTAGAAAAAAGAAAGTGATGTGTAGGGTTTATTATTACAAATTATAGCCTAGTTATTTGTTTTACTTCCCTGACAGATATATACTATTTCTCAACAGGAGCAAGTGCTGTAAATAATCAGTTTGCTATTTATACACTGCAACTGGAAACACATTTATGGCTAACAATAATAATTAGAGAACATTTAAAAAAAGCTGCTGGGTTGCTATTTGGTTCCTCTGGAGTGAGCAGCTGTAAGAAAGAAAATGCAATCAGTGCAACTTTAGAGAGGCTGAGAATGGGTTCCATGAGCTTAAATTGTCAATAATAAAGATGTAACAGCTTCCAAACACATTAAAGTCTTGATGATGCTCCCATTTAAGTGAGTTAGGCTTTTGACTAATTTTAATAAAAGCTGCTCTGAGTGTTTAGGGTTTAAATACATGAAATAAAATCCTTTGACACACAAGGAGTATGTTAGAACTCCCCTTTTAGAAAAGCTAAAATTAATGTGCATTTTTTTCCCCTTACCTTGATTTTCTGCAGGCTTTTCCTCACTGGCATCTGGAATGTTGGCCTCAGTGCTGACCTCATCTCCCACCCTCTGTTCTTTTTCAGTCCCTTACTGAGAGACATAATTTCACTGGTTATTTCAACTTCACTTGGTGTGCAAAGAGACCCTAGAGCTTCCTTCCTGGTGTGGTTTATTAGTAACACTAGTTTATTAATGGGGCTGCACAGTCACTGTGAGACTATATTGCCTCTCTGAGTGTGTCATGAGCTTGGCCCTGGTGGCAGAAGCTTCTCTCATGAGTGAGGTTTTTTTGGTGGAGTACCCAAAGCCTTTGGTTTAGCTCTCAGAGGTCTGTGATAATGGGGAGCATTGCACTGGGACTTGGTCTTACAAGTCAGGTCATAAATATTTCTTCTGGCCATTATCATGTCATTATGCTGCTGCAGAGATATTCTTTCTAATAAATATTTTTTCTTCTGGCCATTATCATTATGCTGCTGCAGAGAGCCATTGCTCCATCAGGCCCAGTGCTGTTTTGTACTGAAATTAATGGTGCCTTGCCAATGTGTAAGAACAAGATGTTGGATAGCCTCATCTAAAGATTATACTGGCAAGCAGCAGCAAATAATGATAATTTCTAATGTATGAAAGACCATACTTTAGGATTATCTGAATTAAATTAATCCCTTGCTGTTAGTCTTTTCTTTCCTGCAAGTGTGTTGCATACATTGCATACATTGTAGAATTTATTTGGTCAAATGTCTGAGATGGTCACATTGTGAACGTGGTTTGGGAAATTTGGCTGCATTTTTAAAGCAAAGTGTCTGTGTGTGTTTACAGCAAGGAAAATTCCCCTTTCCTAAACATGTTCATGTTGCATGTAGGTACAGTAGTGTCCACAAAGTGCCATTAACCTACACATAGAGCATCACTGAATTTTATACACTCTAGATTCTGATATGGGTATTTTGTTGAAAAGGAGCAGTCAGTGGATTGATTTTTAGTAAGGCACACAGAAGAGCTTTGGGCTTATGTCATGCAAACTTGACAGAGGAGTAGAGCTTTCCCAAATATGGCAAGCTTTTAAAAATAATTGCTTGAAAGGACAGAAACTGTAGCAGGAATTCAGTTTTCTCTTGCCTTTAGTGTGCTGGTGCATCAGTTAGTGTTTAGGTGGTGATTAGGTATGAACTCCTCTTTACCTTATGAGTAAATATGAGACAAAGTAGTGAGGGGAGGATATGAAAATACTCTGTAAGGGAAGAGAGGTGGTAGATGGTACAAGGAAATAATCTTTGATTACCAAGATGCAGAAAGAGGTCGGTCATGGGATAGAAATCCATGGCAGCAAAAAACAACTTCATTAGTTCTGCAGCTTCCTTTTAAACAGCAGATTGGTCTAACATTTGAAATAGTAGAGAGAGCTCTGGGAGGTGTATAAACATGTTTATTACAATCACATAGCAACTTGCAGTGTTTTCTACAGCACATGAGGAAGTGATGCATGAAATGTAGTATGAGAGAATGTGGATAACATAACAGAGATACAGAATTTAGTGCCTGGGGAGAGGCTGGGTGGTGAAAGTAGGACAGAGGAAGAGAAGGACTGGTTGGGCAATGAAAATGTGATTGGGAGAGACTGTACTGGTCAGTGACAGCATTGTCTCCCTGGAGTGATGAACGGAATCAAAATATTTGATGGCTTAATAACCCAATAGCATGAAGTGAATTCTCATGTCAATTTATGAGTAAGAGGGGCAAAACCAAAGGGGGATTCAGTATCTAAGGCATGATCTGGCTCTGAGTTTTCCTGTTGGAGGATCCCTCCACTGCAAAGCTGGGAGTGACCAACCTCTTGAGCATGGAGACCCAAAGAAAGGTACTTTCTTGGGCCCATTTGAAGGTTTTAAAGAAACAGAAGGTTTATGGCCATCATTATGTTGTGTTAGTGACCAAAGCTAGTTATTCTTGCACTGATCTGACATAAAACCTCTATGTCTTGCTTTTGTTCTTTCTGGGTGTTTTGTCTCATCACTGCTGCACCAATTTCTAACTCTTCTCCCTCAACAATTGCTGACTCAGCTCAGATACACACAGTTTTCTGAAGCAGCAACACCAAATGTGCAGCAGAGGGAAAAAATCCAAAACAGTCATGATGGTTATGGTTAAAAAAACTCCAGGGTTGGCTCATCTTCATCAGTGCAGAATTTCTCCCAGATGAAATGTTTAGATGAAATGGAATGTTTTTCCATTCTGAAAGCAGTAATCATCCTTGAGTTTTCTCCAAACCTTGACCACCTTTGGGTAAAATTTCATCTATTCAGTGCAGGATCAGTACAGCTTGGGAGGGATGGACTCTGATGTGGTGAGATTTCTTGTCCTACTTTCTGCATCTTCAGAAATCAGTGGCATAGTAGTGCTGGCCACTCATACATAGTCCAGTTCAAGCACTTCTTAGCTGAAATATCTAATTTTTTCCCCCAGCTCTCAATCCTTCTGTGCCCTCAGGAAGGAGGGTCCAGGGCTCTGTTAATGTTGTTATTTTCCAGCCAATCCCAGGTTTGCTCAGGGCTGTGATATTCCCCATCATAAAGAGATTTCAGCAAACCAGATTTGTGAAGAGAGATTCCTTGTCAGGTACAGCATTTTTTGACATTCTCAGCCAGCTGATGCTTGAAAGCCAAGTACCTGTCATGCCAAGGCTGTTAAGCAATGGGTGACAGACATGCAATTTCTTTGCACTTGATTGTAGGTGTGCAGGTATCTGTTGTGCCTGCTGTCTGCTGTGATTTGACTCTTCCTGTAAATCTGGAATATCTCAGTTGTGCCATCTCCAGCAAGTGCTGACCCTGTGGGTTGCTGACAGCCCTGGGAGGGTGACTGGCAGCATTCTTTGCACTCCAGACGTGGCCTTAAGCACAGTGAAAGCTTCAGTTTGTCTCCTGGAAGTGACAAAAATTCACTGTCATTGCCCTGTTCCATTTGATTTTGGCAGAGTTTTCAGCCTTGCAGCGTTAGCAGGAAGTGGGATTTGGTTTTCATCCAAGGTGCAGCAGTTCCACTCTTTATTCCATTGCTACATTTTCACATCTGTGTACTTGAATTCAGTTTTGGAAACTCTGAGTTAGACCACAGAGGCTTCTGCAAAAATCCTGCTTCATCAGCAGAGTTAGGATTTCTTAAAATATCAGTGGCCCTGTGGCATCCCTTGGGTCCATTCTGCACCTCTCAGACTTTAATTTCTTGAGCAGCTCTGGTGCAGGAGCTGTGCTGCTATTCAGCCCCTGCAGTGCTGTGTCCAGGCTGAGGAATCTCTCAGTCCCTGAAGTTCCCTCAGCCTTTTTCACCTCCCTGATTCCAGCCCCTCTGACTGGGGGGTCAGATTGCCTGGGGTCACAATCTCCCTCCTTGACATTTAAATTTTGTGCCTCAGCTCCAGACACCTCTATTTGCAGCAGCTCCTCCCAGAGTGGAGGCACTGTCACTGTACAAAGGAGCCAAAACTTCCTTTCTTGGACCCAGTTTGTATTTATCTGACATTTACTTTTATCTGACAGTATAGCTAGACCTTTCTGGCCAAGACTGCTCTCACTGGATCTCAGTAGTAATCCCCTCAGTACTTTTACAGACACTAAAGAATTTCCTGCTTTCAGAGATTCATCTACATCTGTTTGTAGTTTAGAAACAATAACTATTATAGCCCATGCCTCAGACAGTATTAAAATAAACACAATAAGCTGAAGTTTCTTAACTTCTGTTATTTTCAGTTTTTTTTTTTTCAAGAATGGAATAAAATAAAACCATTTCACCACTTTCATTGAAGCCTCACTTTAGAGTGAAAAATGCTTTTAATACTGAATTTTAAAATTCCCAATTTAGGTTTTCTTAACTTCCACAGAGAAGAATTGGTATCCTAAAATGAGTTCTGAGTATCTGAAAAAAATCATCATCTCATTAAGTTCATCTTCTGCACCAAACCAGAGTAGTTCTCTTAATTTCAGACAGAAGGGTGTGCTATGATCCCGAACCCATGTGATGATTTAGTGAGCCCAAAGAGGTTTACCTTGTGAAAAAAAGCACATTTGTGTCTTGATAGTAACCAGCAAACCAGAGAACTTTTTTTTCCATGCACAGCCTCAAAACCATCTAGTTTATAAATGCAAGGCTTGACTTGCACTAAGTAAGATTTTTTGTGTGTGTGTACCATTGTGGGAATTTGCAGAGGTGCCAGGACGAGGGAAGAGATGAGAATCTTGACTCCATGTTTCAGAAGGCTGATTTATTATTTTATTATATATATTATATTAAAACTATACTAGAAGAATAGAAGAAAGGATTTCTTCTATTTTTTTTTCAGGATTTCTTCAGAAGGCTAGCAAAGAAAGGAATAGAATGGAATGATAACAAAATCTCATGACTCTCAGAGAATCCAAGACAGCTGGACTGTGGTTGGCCATTAATGAGAAACAACCACATCAGACCAATCACAGATCCACCTGTTACATTTCACAGCAGCAGATAATTATTGTTTACATTTTGTTCCTGAGGCCTCTCAGCTTCTCAAGAGAAAAGTCCTAGCAAAAAGGATTTTTCATAAAATATCATGGCTACATACCATCTTATCTCTACTATGCCCTGAGAAATTACATTGCTTAATTAAACACCCACTCTCTTTTCAGAACAGTTCTTAAGTGTTTCTAAGCTGGTATTGTTCCTTTGGCAGGGAACAACACCTGGTGCTTCACTCACAGCACCTTTTCTCCAAGCAGCCAAACTGAGCTCATTTTCTTTCCCTGGTTGTTGTGTCTCCACGTGTCCTCAGTCTCTTCTATGCCAAAGTGAGATGTAAAAGAGGCTGCCCCCCATGACCAACTGTTCTGGTTGCTACAAAGGATAAAACTGCACAACAAAATCTGTGTCTTGTTTGCAAACCCCCCAACACCTGGAGATGAGCTATCAGCTTTTGTGGGATTTTTATTTGATTGAATACGTGTACAAACTGCACTGTTCAGACCTGCATGAAGATGTCAAATAGGTTACAAAAGGCAGGGATGTCACCTAAGGCTACTTTCAAACATTGATACACTGTCATTTGTAGCTGCTTGTATGCAAACTTTGAATGATTATGATTATGATTATGATTATGATTATGATTATGATTATGATTATGATTATGATTGTGATTATTTAGGATAATAATAATAATAATAATAATAATGTATTTCATGTTTTAAGGAGTATCCTCAAAGGTAAAACAACATGCTTTAAAAAATTTAAAAGCAAAGTAACCTGCAATGATTATTACTAAAATTTCCAAAATTTGATAACAAAGTCACGCAAAACCGACACATCAGGCATTACAAATAAATTATTTGCAGAGATTCCAAGTGTAAACTGAGACCATTCATTCATACATGCGAAGGCTGTGCAGTTCTGAGCTGCAAGGACACAAATACACTTTGGATTCTGCTGCTGCTGCTCAGCTTTTCAGTAAGGCTGGGGCTGTCTCCTCCCTTGCCCTCTGCTCTTGCTGTGCACTTTCTTGCAGTGCAAATCACCTTTATGGGCTGCAGACATCCCACTCACTTGCTCTGTATTCATTGCACAGAATGCAAGGAAAAGGGAGGATGGGAAATCTCCTCCTCAAACTTCCACTGCTATCCTACCTTTAAAAAAAAAAAAAAAATTCAAATTTGCCTTAAACAAGAATTTTAATGCCACTCTTAGAAGAAACAGTGACAATTAAAATATGCTATAAACTCAGTAGTCCTTGTAGAAGAAATAAATCAGTTCTGATTTAAAAAAAAAAATCTTACTAGAATTAGGAAATCTGAAAGAAGATGTCTTGGTTTAGACATGCATTAGTGGGAATGAAAACCTCTTCCAAAACAGGATGGACCCTTTGTAAGATTTGGCAGGACCCCAACTTGCAACTTACTTAACTTACTTACATCTTAACTTACTTACATCTTACTTACTTAAATCTTACAACTGCAAGAAACATTTCCAAACTCCATTTGGGACAGGCGGGATTCAGATGCTTCCTCTTTGCCATTTCTCTTCTGAAAGCAGACAAATCAACGAAGGTTTTTGATGCCAGCAACCCTCAAATCAAGGATGATTGAAAGAAAAAGAATGCAATTTTCTTGTCTGCCTTTCTTTGACAAGTTTCCAGCAATGTGACAGCATGCATTGCTTTAATTTATCTTTATCAGTTTTGATTTTCTGTGTCTTTTTTGTGGGACGACTGAAGGGGGCCAGTAGGAGGGGAGCTAAGCATTTTTAGCAACAGTAAATAAATGCAGAGTGTGACACAGTTGTGTCATGGCACTGTGAAATTTTGTCTACTCTGGTGAAAGCCATCTTATTTCAGTGTGGAATAAAGTGCCTGCTTGTTGTCATTTATGATTACTGACACTTAAATAATTCCTCAGTTGCATTCTCAATTGCAGTATCACTTTTTATTGAATATAGATGGCTTCTTTGGAAGTCATAAGCTACATTTTTCTGTGTACCACTTAATATTTAGACTAAAATGTCACTCTTTTTGGTCTGAGGAGTGTAGTGCAGGGTGGTAAAAGTCCATTGGTCTCTAGATGTGTTTTTCTGGTGAAGGGCAGGGGGCAGTTTGTGAGAATTCCCTTAGCACAGTGGTGACAGAATCTGGTGACATGCAGTGTTCATCAAACTGGGGAGTCCAGGCTCATGTCCCCATCCCCTCACAGTGGCTCTGGCACTGCTGCTCCAGGGTGGATATTCTGTATGCACTGTGTTATTCATGCTATTCATGGCAAAACAGCTCAACTTCTACACACAGACAAAAAAAAAAAAAAAAAAGTCTTTTTACTGAGACATCTGTAAGGGGTCATGCTGTGAACGGGATTTGATTGAAGAACTTTGCTAGCAAAAATTAAATAGACTGCTTCAAAATTATTTCTTGATAGGACAAAAATGGATGCTTTGAGCTGTAATCATCAGGATTGCCTTCAGTCAAATTTGTTTTCTCATCCTATGACTCAGGTGGTTTTAGCATGCATGTTGTCTGCAAAAAGGAAGACACAGTGATTAATTTTATTTTATTCTGGGTAAGTTGTGTTGGCTTAATTATGGTAGTTCAAAGATCTGGGTTGTTTTTGCCCCAGAGCCTGAAAAGGCAGATTCAGGGTTGGAGAAGGTATTTCCAGGCTTATAAGGCTGTGTACTTACCCATCACAGTGGAATATCCAAGGAGAGGCATCAGCTCCCTTCCTTCCTTCCTTCCTTCCTTCCTTCCTTCCTTCCTTCCTTCCTTCCTTCCTTCCTTCCTTCCTTCCTTCCTTCCTTCCTTCCTTCCTTCCTTCCTTCCTTCCTTCCTTCCTTCCTTCCTTCCTTCCTTCCTTCCTTCCTTCCTTCCTTCCTTCCTTCCTTCCTTCCTTCCTTCCTTCCTTCCTTCCTTCCTTCCTTCCTTCCTTCCTTCCTTCCTAAATTCCATCCTTTCAAAATTCTTTCCTTCCTAAATTCCTTCCTAAATTCCTTCCTTCCTTCCTAAATTCCTTCCTAAATTCCTTCCTTTCAAAATTCCTTCCTTCCTAAATTCCTAAATTCCTTCCTTCTTAAATTCCTTCCTTCCTTCCTAAATTCCTTCCTTCCATTCTTTTCCCCATGCCTGTGTGCAGTCTGCTTGTTAAATAAACAGGTTTTTTCACTTTTTTTTTTCCACCAAGAAATTCCTGTAATAGTGCTGGGGTGAGGGCATGCCAAAACCTACCTCAGAGGAGATGCCCCTTTCAGGATATTTTCTCCTAACTTTCCTCTGTCTCAAACTGAGACATTTCCATCCCTTGTTATGAGACCTTGTTGGGGTCAGATTCTAATGCTGCTCATGCTGTGTGACAAGGGAAATGCCATCTCTTAAATAATGGATTCAGGTGGCTTTCACCTGACCAGCTTAAACACAGAGAGCACTAAGAGCAATCCATGGATTTACAAACTTCTAAAGCAAAGTGTCCTTTTCAGTTCATGTTTATCCCAGCTCATCAGTGAGCTCAGGCTCATTGTTTTCCCCCATCAAGAGCATAACTGCTGTTCACTTTTACTTCTGTTTAACAGAGACTGAAGATAGAACCACAGATTGATTTAAGATTTGCTCTAATTTCTTATTTATGGTCTAAAATATAAAATATTAGCCTGTGCTGGTCTGACAAAACAAAAAATTGCAGTTTTGAGAAGGCTGGCAGACTACCCACAGCCTTGGAGGCACTACTGTGCAATTAAGCATCTTGTACTCACAGAAAGGAAAAAAAAAAAAAAAAGATGTAAAATGTGACTCTTGCTGTTGCAGTTCATTTACTGTAGAAGAATATTTTCTTTTTTTTCCCCTAAGAATTGTACTAAGCTACACTTAATTATGTGTCCTGTCATTTGGCTGGGTTGCCCACAAATGTAAAAAGCACTGGGTATATTTACTTTGGCAGCTGGCTTGTTGCCACCTGTGATCAAAAAAATTGCTGTGCATTGATTAAATTTCACCTGGCTTGGTAAGTGGGTTCTGGAAGAAGCACAGATATTGCTGTATCCCAGTTTTTGCAGATAAAGATAAAAGTGGCTTTTTCCTCTCCAAAAACATAACCAGCAAGAGCTTAGTGCTGTTTGCCATTACAGTAGCATTGATGGGAGGCAGAGCCAGACAAGTACAGCTGTTGTCTGTGCTACAAACAAATGTCTTTAATAAGACTCTTGAAAGCTTAGCCAATAAATTTATAAACCTGTTAATAATTGATATTTATTACATTACTCCTTACAGCGAGATTCACATCAGATAAAAACATTAATTATTAACCCAACTCCTGAAAAGCAAATTGAAAGAGTTTATGGATATCTGTTTTCTGAAAGAGTTGTTTGTGTAGAACACCTCTAGTCAGTGACAACCAGCATAAAATTCTGCAAATTCTCAGGAAACAATTGCTGAGGACAGAGCCTTGATGAGCTAGCAGTTCTCAGCTGCTTCTTCTCAAATTGTATTTTTAGACAGGCTGTATTATAAATCTAATGGAACAGTTTTACTACAGTGATGTTATTTGCTGTAAATTTATTTGAGTGAAACAAAATCTGATGGAGAATAAAGCCAGGGGTCAAATATATGATCCTTGGTTCCTTTAGTGACCACACATGTTAAGAAGGTTAGATATGGTAGTTTGAAATGTCAAACTCCTTCCAGAACTGAGTGCATGGGCTAAAATTTTAATATTCAATTCAACAGGCAAGGGCATATATTCCTAGGAAGTAACTAGGAGCTGTTTTCAGCTGAACTCCAGCCAAAGCTCTAAATCCAGCCAGTGGAGTGCTTTCAAACAGAGCCTGGGGTCCTTGGCAAAAGTCCCTGAAGCTTGTCTATGAAAATGTACTTCAGTGGTATGTTATCAGCTCTTTTAGTACACTGACCTAAATTCATGTGCAAAATACTAGATGATGGGTTCATTAAGGAATTTTGTTATTATTTACTGATTTTAAACGTATGAAATACATCTGAGTGAATTTGAAAGAACGACTGAGTATCCTTCATTGATGTATGACTCATTTATTCTAGAACAAAGTAAAGAATCTTGATCATGCAAACAAACCCACGTGAGCTTCAGTTGAAATACTCAAATGTTTCAGTCTGGCTATTTACCTGCATGAAAAAAAAAATTCTATCTGGTCTTCCTCATCCATATCTAGAAACATACAGTAGTGCCTCCAAGGCTGTGGGTGGTCTGCCAACCTTCTCAAATCTGCAGTTTTATGTTTTGTCAGAGCAGAACAGGCTAATATTTTAGATTACTCTGCTTCCAGTAGAAATTTCCGATTTCGACAGCATCTGAGTGAAATTACATTTTGTGCTGGGTGTGAGGAGCAGCACAAACTGGAAAGAAGGAAAGGGAGAGGCAAATGAGAGTTTTACCAAACTCAAAAAGCAAGAAGTACCACAAGCCTCAAGAAAAGTAGCAGTTCTTGGCCCCATCCTATTTTATATAATCATTGAGATAAATAACTTACCTTGAAAACTGAGGTCCAATGAGATCCTTTTTCAATAATTTTCTTCTCTAGATGAAGTCAGATTTCAATTAGTCCACAATGTTAGATAGACATCTTTCAGAAGATTAATGATAAATAATTCAGAACTGCCTCAAGACTAGAATCAGGTATTTCAAAATACCATGGACAGGCAGTGTTGAGGCCCAATGGCTTCCAGAGGGGTGGAAAGAGCAATGGTCTGCACCAAAATACCTTAAAACAGTTTCCTTTTAAAATTTGTTTTATAGTTGTTTAATTTTTAAATTATTTTTTGGGACTTCTAGTAGAGGGCCTCCCCAGGAGGTCAGCCAGCATCCAGAATATCAAAGATGTGCAGAAATTCTGCAATCAGGGTAAGCTGTGATCACACCTCTGCCAGTAGCAATGTGAATGCTTTGTTCATCCTGGTTTTGGTGAAGCAGGAATACAATTTCTTGCAATTAATTAATCAACACAAAATAATAAGAGCACTAGTAGAGAAACCTGAGACATGGCAATAGGCACTTAATGCTTACTGAATAGCAAATCATCTCTGGATGTCACACCAGAGCTGCAATAAAATCTGTAACAGCTAATGAGGTTTGAGTCAAAAAAGATATATTTTTTTCACAAAAAAAATGTTAAAAAGTATGGAGTCTATGTACTTTACTGTAGTTACAGAGTCCCTGTGTCATCTTGCCTCTTAATGGAGGCCTCTGGTTATGGCAAAGAAATATAATTTTACCTAATAATTTATGAAATGTAGTGAAGTAATTTTGAAAGTCACTGACTGCCCTGTGAAGTCATTTTATGAATTGCCTTTAAGGGGAGAACCTCTTTTAGGAAAATTAATAAAACTCTATGCAAATGAAAAAGGCAAAAATAAAATATCAGGAGTTACCAGCAGCAGAAGGCCAAGAGACTTTCTGGTCAAAATGTTGTGTGAAGCAGTTTTCAAGGAGCAGTTTGAAGAAAAAGGAAAACATATCATTGAACACCCATTTTGCTTCTCCTCCTTTTAGGCAAGTTTGTTAATTTTGATGATTATTATGATATCCATATTCCTGTGAGGAATCCAGTGAGGTAATTGGCATTCAGTAGCTCTTCTTGGGCCACTGTCATGTTGGCCATATTTTAGCCAACAGTGTATTTCAGAAACAACAGCATTTAATCCCATTTTCTGTCTAAATACCAGCTGATATAACCAGCAGTTGCTATAATACCCACGTGTTCATTTACTAGCTGAACTCTAAAGCTATTAAGGAAATCCTCATGTCATTTACCATTATTTTAGCAACTGATATCTCTCCTCAGTGTTATGACTTGTGTAAGTGACTTTGTTCCAGTAATAGAAACATCATCTTAATGCACTTAAGAGCTGAGCACTTGGTATGTTAATGAGGTGTGCAAAAGTACCACACAGTATTTTCTGTAATTGGGCAGCAGAATATAGCATTCTTTTTGAGTAGGCCTTATTATGTCAAGCACAGCATCAAGTGATGCTAGCGCTCACATCTGCAATTTTTGCTGATCCATAGGTTTTCTTCCTTAATGTCTCAGGGAATATTTGCATTTGGAAAAGGTCAAGGGAACATGAAACATTCTCAGAGCTAGAAATCTCTATTCATTGCAGATTGGTGTGCTGCACAAGCTTCCACAATTTATACTTTAACAGTAATCCTAGTTTTTACCTGCAGGCATCTACTTTCTGCCTTACTATAAAAGGCAATTTAATTCTTCCATGAGTTAAGTCTTGAGTAGTGCAAGAGGTACTTGTAGCAATTTCATGAAGTGGGATGAATTGTAATCACTAGATAGAGGTTTTAAACACTCCAAGTTTGATCCAGGCTTATGAAAAAAGAAGGAAAAAAATCCCTATTTTCTCTGCAGTCTCAACCACTTTGCTTCCTTCTGGCCCAAGAGTGCTACAGCAAGACAACACAACTTGTACAGAAGTAACAGACTTGAATTTCAAAAATAGGTCCAAGTTCTTTAACTTTGGATTAGTAATGATTTTGCCAGTAATGAGCCCAGTGGTGAAAGGTATAAATCAGCCAGCCCATCTCTACTGTACAGCCCACCTAGCTGCTAGAGAAGGGCTTGTAGGGGCTTCTTGGAGTGGACTGAGGTCCCATGGCAGAAATGGGCAACCAGGAGCGAGAGGGAAAACAAAGAAGTCTCCTTGCAAAGAAGATGACTTGGCAAAGCACTCTGAGGTCTACAGGCACCCAGTTCTGAAGCCAAAAATCATGTGGTAGAAAACTATAATTGTGTTTTTCCATGGCACTTTAAGGCTAAAGAAGCAAGAGAATCTGTCGAGAATCTGTCATTTTCCCAACCTGCTGCTGAGTTCTGTCCCTGCCATCATGCCTGATGTGGGGGTAGGATGGAGGACTTTCCTGGAAGAACCATTGCAAAACCTTGCTGAATTCAAATTGTCAAACCTGGGCCAAGTAGAAAATGGACTAGGTCTGGGGCCCATGGGCTGTGCTTCAGATCTGTCACCCTGATTTTTTAAGTTCTTCTAAGCCTTCTGGTGCTTACATTCTTGTAACGAACTTTCTCACGCACTTTCCGTAGCTTATTGTTTTGCATTCTTTTATAGAAGAAGAGAAATTTGATGGACTATCAGTTTGTCCAGTGTCATTGGAGAGGTGGTACTTTCACCCTCCAATCCACTGTCACTTTTAGAAAACTATAAATATTGGAGTCAGAAAATAAACTTCCCTTTTTTCACCTTGAGAGCAGCAGTGTGCGCGCTCACGTTGTTTCGTGACATCAGATCTGTAACCAAAGGAGCAAATTTAAAACCAAATGCAAGCTGTAATGAATTGCCCTGAGTTGTTGTTTTGTCTCAACCACTTGTCCAATTGGAAAGTGGAATTACCTTCAGTAAAGCTTGGAGGTGGCTGGAGATGTTGGGAAGGATCAGATGACTCAGCCTCACAGAGCAGATACAAGCAGTTGGCATATCTGCAAAGTGGCTGGTAGAAACTTAAATTTCACTCAGTTTGTGGGGGTGTTTTAATATCTAGTAATTTTCTTTTGAAAGTGTTTGGCAGAGTTCCTTTCAGCATTTTAACTGAGAAACCAGAGAGATGGTGGTGTTGCTATATTTTGAAAATGTGGTAGTAATTGGCTGTTTCTACCCCCTGTATTTTGCAGTTTAAGCTCATTAGGTGGTGTAGTGCCTGCTCCACTCCTGTGGAATCCATGAATCACAGAATTATCAAGGTTGGAAGACACCTTCAGGATAAAGTCCCACCATTATCCCAACATCACCATAATCACCCCTAAACCATGTCCAGAGAAGAGAATGGTGCTGGAGTACCAGCAGCTTAAGTAGAAAACTATAATTTTATATAAGTTGTCTAAATAATAGGTATCAAAGTTATCTAAATAATTGTATATAAGTCATCTAAATTCTTGGAATTTTCCTCCAAATTCTTGGAATTTGAATCAGTGGAGTTTTATATATTGGTGAGTGCATAGTACAGAATATAGACTAGCTTTGAGTACCCCCAGTGTTTGGACTGCATTGCTTTTGCAGATTGAGTTGATAGAAATTTCAAATTTCTTTAGAAAGCAGTAAGAACAACAACTTGGATATTATATCTGATTTTTTTACACATTGAAAGTCTGTTATTAGTCCCAATGTAAATTATTAGCCAGCATAAAGGGAGAATTTTCAGTTTTCTTTCTAACTATGCTGTGAATATTGCTTGTGTTTGATGAACTCTAACAACCTTCAATTTAGGTTTAACTGTTGTTTAACAGCTTGGTAATGGCATGTATTAAACAAGTTATCATCATATTTGCCTTTAGAGCAAAAGAAAATTAGCCAGTGTTAAAAAAGATAAGTGGTGTTCTCCCTAATGCTCTGGGCTTCTGTACAGAGCAAATGAAACAGAGGGAATATTTAGATTGCAGTAAAAGTCATAGTCTCAGGAGGACCTAAACACAAGCACTTTTTATCCCACAAGTTTTAGTGAGTTGAGGACTTGTGCTTCTGTCCTTGCTCTTGGCAGCTGGACATTGCCAGCCTGTGTGAGGAGAACAACAAAACCCTGTCACAGAGGGTGAAGAGGATTTGTTCTTGTCTCAGGAAATAGCCAAATATTCAGGAGGCTGTGGAGTGCTGGGTGTGCCAGGCCTTCCTTTGCCCAGTAGGTGTCATCTGCAGCATTAGGCAGCGATTAAAATTTGAAAAATAGAGGCTTAAAACAAGGTGGGTTAGGACCAACTTCTGATGGCATAGCTGTGTGTTTTCTCCTGCTCCTCAAGTATCATAAAGACAACATGTGGCTTTTGAGTATCTGTATTGCTTGAGTATCTAAGCAATAACCACCTATGACTCCCATTTAAATATAAAATCTGGCATATTACACAAAAAATAATTAACAAGAATTCAGGACTTTTCAGAAAAATGAGATTGACAAGGACAAAACTATCATAGTTTTGTATTGCAACTCATCAGCTTTACATTTGTGTGAGGATCTCCTAGTCCTTCTAGTTGTATTGAAACTCAGACATATGCTCAGCACCTTCTTTCTGTACATCAGCACCCTGTTTTGATAGGGGAGGAATTTGGCCTCTGGGAATTAACAAAACCACAGTATTTTGCCACCCTCTGACTTTGGTCAAAATACATATGTGTTAGTTTCACTGTCTGTAAAAAAAACAAAGGAGCATCTGGCATTAGAAAAGTTCCTTGGGATTAAATAGTGCTAAGTCCTATAAAAGGGTTGTTTCCTATTTCCTCATATCCTTTTTTAAAAATCCAGCCAACATCAATGGTATTTGGTCTGCAGGCTGTGTTACATAACAGGAATGGGAGTCCTGGACAGCTTTAGCACCCTAACAGACCAGATCCCTGTGGGTTGAAATCCTGAGTTCATGGAAGTCAGCCTTGCTCAAAACATCCCCAGAGGTAGGCAGGGGGTCCCACATAGATTTAGTTCTCCCACTCATCCTAGGCTGGGAGACAGCAGGAATTTGCCAGCTGCAGTCGTCAGAACACAATTGTCTCTGAACCTTTACATTTACAAAGGAAAAGTACAAGCTGCAAATATCCCTTCAGCTGATTTGCCTGTCTGTGGACTCTGGAGATGATAGTTAAAACCAGACTCCCTTTTTCAGTATTGCTCACATGCCAAACACCAGGTCCTCCTCTTACTGCTGTGTAAACTACCATTTCCTAGCCATTAATAGCTCCTCTCATTTAGTGAATGAAGGACAAAATGGTGCTCTCTCATGCCAAGGTACCTTTTTCTTTAAAGAACAGATAACACCTGTTATCCCAGCATTTGATGCTTCTTAGGAAAACCAGCAGCCCAGGTTCTGGTGGCCATTAGCTCTGCTGGGGACAGAGTGATGGGGGCTCCTGCTCCCCTTTGCCCTCCTGCCTCCCCAGCAGCCTGGGCAGAATCAGGGAGGGACTCACCTCTCTCCCTGCCTTTCCCTTCAAGGCTGCTGACTCTCCCAAACTAAAGGCACCTAGGTACAAATCCCCAGTGATGAGACCCCAGCCCTGTCCCCCAGCCCTGGAGGAACTGGTGAAATCCTCCATCTGTGGCAGAACCCCCCCAGTCTCTGTCCTCAGTGCCAGACTTAACTATGGCATTAAATCAGCTCACATGAATTATTCAGAAGGCTTTGGAGTGAAATTCATGTTAGAGAAATCTATGTTTCAAATTTCCTGACTCTAAGAGGAGTCCTGGAGGTGTCCCCTGCAGTTACTTTGATAATAGTTTCTCTTTACAAATGATAATTGCACGATTCAAGCTTTTGTACAGTGTGGCCTTGTGAACTCTTCTCTCGTATCAAAGAACAATTTTAAGATCATTTCCATAGCAAAAAGAAAGTGATTGTGGAGATAATCTGTTGAAAACACACATGCAGGATTTCAGTTGAAAACAATAAAATGCAGTCATGAAATGAGAAATCAAGTGTTACCTAGCTGACGATATATAGAGAATAAATTGCCTGGGCATTTCAGTTTCCTGAGCTGCTAGGATTTGAAAATTGGTCTCAAGATTAGTCTGATTATCAGGACACATCTAGCAACAAGCACCAAAAGGGAAAGGG